TTTGAAAACTATAAGTTACATTGTCATGTGCATGGTATCAAATGAAAGCTAATTAATTGTTCTACACATTTGTCTTGAACTACGACCAGGTACATAGCATGATTTTGCCTGCCTTTTGATGATGCCTGCGTGCGTAAACGGATTATTTCAAAATTTTCGGATGTGTTGTTTTGTGTTTCGAAAGTGGATTAAAAACTAAAAAATGGCTAGCCATGGACCTCGCAAATACTGCAGTGTAGATATGTGTAAGAACAATATGAAAAAGAACCCGGAAATAAGTTTTTTCGTTATTCCGAAGGAGATATAAAGGTCCTTCTAGAATTTTATTTTGATAATTTTCACCTACTTGTTGCCAATGATATTATATGTAGGTTCTAGGTTGCTTGTTGCTATTTATAACATTGTTCAGGTGTTGTTCAGAGTATAGGTACCTACTTCTGGGCTTTATTTAAACAAACAACGTAGATACCATGATGATATACCTACATTCTTAGTACCTACTTAGGCACTGTTTACAAAACTTAAGTAATTAAGAAACACTACCAAAGTAAATACATAAATTTTACAGCTGAAATACGCATTTTACTGTAGGTATATTTTTGTTGCGAAGATATTTCATACCAACAACAGCGCTGTCTTATTCTAACCCTTGATTCTGCGCTCACGTGCGAGTGCGATGGAAATAAGCAGCGCGCTCGCGCTCCCGCATCGCCGTTCGCTGCCGCCACATTGCGAGCAGGATTTAAAAACACTTGCAATACTTGTCTTATAGTTACCTAGAATAAATATGTACTGAACAGATAAATTAAATACCTACTCGATTATTTTGACAACCCTTTGAGAGCGCGCGCGGCCGAGTCATTGTCCGGCGGCGTCCAGTGGAGATTGAGCCGTTCGAGCGCAGCAATAAGTTTCAATTTCGCGCGCGGGCGGTCGGCTAAGCCGAGAGTAGGTATCTTTTTATACCTAACCATGGCTTTTGTTAGGGAGTGAATTTTCTGTACCCTAGTACTATTATATATTCTGTGACCATGCACATGACAATGCAACTTATAGTTTTCAAACAATTTGCAGTTTTTTAAATGCGGCGGCCGCCATCTTGATGACGTCATTTCTGCGGGAGACAGGCCCTCATCAGCTTGTCTCCCGGCGGTTTTCTAGAGCTTATGTCATGTTTATTGACATATTAAAATTTGGTACCGGTATGACGATCCGAAGTATTAATCGGCTAACTAACGGGACTATAACGCGCGGTGTGGCTCCATCTACAGGGATAGCTTTTGCAACTAACTTTTTTTACAAATTGAATGTAGCAATTATTTATTAGATTGCTCGTTGGGAATTAGTTCAAAATGGCGGACTTCGAGCGCAAAATTGACTGAAACTACCGCAGGCGGGTTTTGTTTTTAATAATAGTGCTTGTTTAAAGTAAGTTAGGACAGGACGATGTGGCGCAGACACAGTAGTTAGCATGCCTGCCTGCCACGCAAAGGTACCGGGTTCAATTCCCGGTGGGGTCACTCACAAAGTTGATATTTATCACTTTATGAATTTGATCCCAGTCTGGTTAGGACATTGCAGGCTGAAGCCACCTGATTGTCCGCAAGTAAGATGGTTCCGTGCTTCGGATGGGCACGTTAAGCCGTCGGTCCCGGTTGCTGTCTATGATGGCGGTCGTTACACAACCATGTCAGAGGCCCGCTACTTGCAGTAGGCGGTTGAAAAACTCTGACACCAGGGTTCATCGGGTCGTTGAACGACTCGGTGTCCCACACGAAAAGAAGAAGAAGGACAGGAGTTTACCGCATCAATTTTTTTTAGACTTGTAGTACGAATCTCGGATCTCGGAAATGAGCCATCCGATCGATAGGAAATGGCTTTGTGTGATGTCACACATGTGATGACATCCGATGTGGCGCAGTGGTTAGTACGACTGCCTGCGACACAGGAGGTTCCGGGTTCGATTCCCGGTGGGGTCACTCACAAAGTTGATATTAGTCACTGTGTGAATTTGTGCCTAGACTGATCAGGAGATTGCAGGCTGAACCACTGTCAGAAAAGCAAGATGGTTTCGTGCTTCGGAGGGCACGTTAAGTCGTCGGTCTCTTTTTCTGCCTATGATCCCTTACATTCCATTGAGGGAACAACGTATGGGCAGGTTGATGTGTTCCCGATAGTACTTATTGGATCAACACCTTTCTGGTTCTCAATGTAGATATAAGAAGGAATAAGGCGCCGGCTTATAATAGTATCACCCCGTATCTTTCTCGTGGGCGTCGTATGAAGCGACTAAGGGATTTGAGAGTTGATGTGTATATTGCAATTTTTCTGGCTGACCACCAGTCACTATCATCATCTTCCTGCCCTTATCCCAATTACTTGGGGTCGGCGCAACACGTTTCGTTGAACACAAAATCGTGTTGCAAAAAGATTTGGCTGAATTTTACGACCGGCCGCCTACCAGACGTCAACCCTCCTTGGGAATGATTTTGTGGTGGATTAACCGCCACCATACGGTTGGCCCGGGCTGTTTGGGTCGGGTTTATCCCTCGGTCGCCTTTTACGACCCCCACCGGAAGAGAGGGCGAGGGGGTAGTGCTATTCTACTCTGCCGGCACCACCAGTCACTATATAGGATGCTATTTTATTAGTGGCGGATCCGTTAAGGGTGTGTTCTGTTAATGAAACTGAACAACTTTTCCCAATAGGTCGAAACACGAAAAAAATTTTGGTCGTCCCATATTGAGTGTGTTGGCCGGCCGGGTCAATTTTCACGGCAGGGCCAATTTTTTAGGGTTTCGTAGTCTACTAGAAACCCTTATAGTTTCGGTAAGTCTGTCTGTCTGTCTGTCTGCGCCCTCATAACTTCGTCAGTTTTGGAGCAATCGACATCAAAATTGGTGTGAAGATAGATCGTGTTGACCCAAATTTAGAAATGTTGAAAAAAAAAATATTATTTATTTTTGGACCCCCTTCCCATACATGTGAAAGGGGGGCAAAAAAATCTGTAATATTGAGTAGGGTTGAATAGGTCTTTTAATACTAAGGGGAGGTTTCTTTGAAACAAATTCTCTAAAATGTTTCTGTCTCGAGATATTTGCTTTTAAAAGGGGCGTTTTTGAGCCATAATTTGTTCCAGCTGTAACTTCTAAAGTACGCATGTTAAAAATTTGAAAAAAATATGGAATATAGTTCTTAATATGAAGTTACCATGAAAACTATAACGAATACTGTACTACTTAAGATTAAAGAAATATTAAAGTTTTTCAATTTGCGGTTGGTAACCATACAGCTGCAAACAAACGAGCAACAAAATTAACTTTGTAACGCTGAAAGATACTTAAAAGTTGACTGACTACGAAACCCTATTTGTGAGTGTGTCTGACACGCTCTTGGCCGCATTTTTTTTCATATTTCGACCTATGTTCCTTGGGGAAAGTTGTTCAGTTTCATTGACAGAAGACACCCTTAACGGATCCGCCACTAATAAAATAGCATCCTATATAGTGACTGGTGGTGCCGTTTTTTTTTTTGTTTTTTTTTTTTTTTAAATAAAAAAAAATATAGTGATACACAATCTACTTTTAATGACTCTCATACTATTGTCAGACGTGGTGTTATGGCTGTTTTTAACAGCCGTTAACGCTCTGTCTACCCCTCAAGGTATAAAGGCGTGATGTATATAAGGTCCTATTAAATTCACTGCAAATATTTTAAGGGCATGCGTAAATATGTATAAGAAAAACATCCAAGGCATTTAAAAAAAATCTACACGCTAGATTTTATTTTTCATTTTCAAACAAACTTTTTAATTAATTATGTGAACACCCTTTGACTGACCCGACTGACGTTCCGCCACATAGATAGGATTCACTTACACGGCACGCACACTAACAACCAATCAATCACAGCACCTTTTTTTGGCGCGTAATTTAAATTCATCGAAGTATGTGTTTCTAGGACAAACAGGGTGCACTTTTTTCGTTATGTTATTTTTTAGTTAAATGCAATTTTCTCGAAAACTAGCGTGTAGATTTCTTTAAAAAATTGCCTAGTACATGCTTATATTTTATTTGATCTGCCCCTAAAATATTTGCAGTGAATTTAATAGGACCTTATATAGGTGTAGGTAGCATAAAGTTGATACAATTTTTATTTAATTTCAAGACATAAAATGTAACACAATATTATTATTTTTCGAGAAAACGTCTGCTTTATTTTAGCTTGAAAGTAAAAAGTGGAAGAGAACCGAAGCGTGTCGCGCGTTTTCATTGTTCAACGAAAAGTTGGACTCAATTCAATATGAACAATAGGTATGCTATCAAAAAGAGCGCTATATTTCCAAATTATGGCTTTTTACGGCACTATCTTTGAAGTAAGTAGATTTTATAAATTAGTTAATTTTTTACAATCGTAATAAGAAGGTATTTATTATCTCACCTATGTACTTAGGTATTTATCACAGATCACAGCACAGTAGCCAGAATAGTCTAATTTTTTACACTTATACCACATATTTATAAAGAAGATTTTATTCTCATCAATGAGGATTCTCCTTCATTCTGATTCCCTGATTACGTACTATCGGCTGCAAATCCACCTATCCATTTAAATTTAGGGTAGGTGGATATGCTGGCGTTAACATAGATATCTGCTACTTTCCTAATGGATGATAAACCTAGCCGTCCGGGTCAACACCCATAGACTCAAATTTTAGCATTGGTAGGTAAAGTGACCAAAGATAATCGAGTCCTTTGTTTGTATCCCTCCCGTTGTCTTGTAAAAGGGTTTAAAGCTGAAAAAGGCGTCGGCGACACCGCTCCCTTCTAATTACTCTCATAATGAATCACTCCTGAAAGAGCACAGATAAAAATGTGAGAGATACATATTCTAAAACCAAGTAGGTAGGTAGTTGAAAATGTGATAGGTAGAAGTGGGTGGTGAGACCAGTGGTTGTAGTCTTCTGTACACGTGTTACTAAATGAAAATGAAAAATGACATGCATCGACCGGGGATCGAACCCGGGCCGCATAGGTAAACGCCCCACCGCTGCGCTGTACCACTGATCTATCGATGCACATGTTACTAGATTTACTAACACCATGTGGTAGCGGCTAAGAATAATGCCACCCCTAGTTCACTCAGGGTGTTTCGTAAGGGCGATGTAGAGTTTTTGACCTCGGCAAGTTTATTATATTATCTGTGCCTCGGCTGAATATCTGTCGACTATGGTCAACCACTTGGTGGCGGTGATACCACCTACAATAGCATTCTCAAAGGGGGTTGACGTCAGGCAGGCAGCCGGACTTTATTTTTAACTGATTTGGGATAAGGGCAGGAAGATGATGGATAAGTCAACAGCCCACTACCTACTGTATAGATATGGGCCTTTTTAAAAAAAAATCTTGCAAAATTTTCCACCGCAGGCAGGATTTGAACCTGCGACCTTCGGCACCTGTACTGCCTGTCAGAATTTGGTATTCAAGATGTGGGCCTATAACTGTTTAAACACTTGCGATTGTTTTCACACATTTTGAGTATTGTACCGGATCTATCGCGACCCGGTATAGACCCGGTTCAATACTTCTTCTTTTTCGAGTGGGACACCAAGTCGTCCAATGACCCGATGAACCCTGGTGTCAGAGTTTTTCAACCGCCTACAGCAAAACTTAAAAAAGATATATGTCTTCTCTTTGGGCCATTTTGCATGCTCACCACGCTTGGCAGGCGGATAGGACTGGCGAAATACCTAACTACAGTGATACTACTGTTCCTAGCCGGCGCCACAAACTATTTGCAGGTAATTGTGACCAAAATCGAATAGCCAACATTGTATAGCAATACTGCATTACACAGAACAATTGCAAATGGCGGCTCGCTTGCATACCAATCAGTGTTATATTAGCTAAACTTTGGCCCAAGCATTTGCAGGGGCCGATTGCACTATTCTACTAAATAGAGGTTTCAGAAGGCTCTATCCTCTCACATTTTTTTAATACAAATGTTAACGGTGCAAGAGACATTTGACGTAAGACGACATCTGTCAGACAAGTGATCGCAGTCGTCATCGATGTGACGCACGTCTCACGTGTGTAGCTTTGTCTCTTCTGTTTTATACTAGCTAGTCTACATATTTAAGTTCATCTGTGTTTGTACACTCTGTATGGAAACAGTTTCAAGCCGTCTAACATGTGTCAGTTTTTGTCTTACGTCTACGCTGTGGAGCTTTCCCCTCAAGACGCAATATAGTAAAAAATCGTGAGAGGATAGAGCCTTCTTAAGCCTTTGTTTTTGCAATCAACCCCTGCAAATGCTTGGGCCGAAGTTTAGCTACTCTGTGGACGATAGACAACTGTCAGACAAGCGATCGTCAGCCGTTGTTGATGGGACGCGCATCTGACGCGTGTAGCTTTGTTTCTTCTGTTTCATACATTTAATATGGTAACTGTTTCAAGCGTCGTTGACAGATGCCATATATTATTACGTTTTACGTCTCACGCAAGTTTCACGTCTCATGTTTGTGGTCTTATGTGTGGAGCCTTGCGCCTAAGGTGGGGACACTGACAAGTGGCGATGGCGACCGTACTGTGATAAAATTGGATGTGTCCATGCTGATATTTATGGCCGCACGATCTGTTACACTGAATAGGGTATCGAATACCGAAAAACGTACCCGGGTCATTCTACAGAACAACGAAATTTGTGTTCGCGACTTATAAATTGAAAAGTATCGCTTGCAGAAGAGCGCTTTTTGTTAACGTTTGAAATGGCTACTTATTCTACATGACAGTCGACAATATGAACCAATAAAGTAATAATTTAGCCGATTTTTTTTGTCAACAGTACGTGACATGTCACGTCCTGTCGACTGTTCGCGTGAGCCCGGCTAAGGTTTAGCAGCAATTATAAAATTAACTTATATAATTATGACAACACAGATCCTCAATAATTAACTCCTATATCCTTAACTTATCACTTCTAAAATAACAAAAAATTATGTCCAGAACAAAAGAATTAACAAGTGATTCTACAAACGTTATAAAAATCTTGTCACTTCTGTCGACAGTTCAAAAATTAACTCTAAAATTAAGAACTTTGATAGTTTTGATCATTTATTTGGATTAAAATGGCAATACTATAGTCATTTGTTAGGACAATTGCTAAAAATTGCGTTTGAGCGTTAAATTGTGGCCCAAAAATGATTTGAGAACTAGTTCTACAGCCGTGTCAAAGTTAACGAGTCACTTCTAAATTGGATATACAAAAGTTTTGCAACGGATTAAAAATAATTCGTGAGTTGAGCCTTGTTTGAAACGTTGATATTTATTCTAAAACTGAAGGAATTCAATATAAACTCAGCATTTCATTGTTTTTGTGACGGTATTGTAAAATTTCTCACATCTGTCGACGTCACTCCTGTTGACAAAGTTGTCGACAGAAGTGATATTTGGCGACAGAAGTGACTTTTTTGGGTAATTGCACGGTAATAGATAAAAAAGTTATTAATTTTTTTTTTACTAATTGTCTTTAATATACTGCTTAAAGGTGAATTCATCAATCCCGTAGCTTAAATCGTGAGTTTTTTTGGGATCATCACCTATGACTTTCCACTATAAAATAAAGGTTTATCGTCGTAAAAAATACATAATTTGTGGCATTAATAACTTTGCTCTTTATTTCCACCAATTATCTCGCATAGTTTCTCCAGACTTTATTCAAGGTGAACAATATTCTCCAAAAAACTCGTAATCAGTTCCACCAAAGCACAGGTTTCAAGACAATCACTAAATTTAGTAATCTGTTGCTTACTGCTTACCACATTATTTTTAAAGGAATTTACAGGTTTTTTGGTTTTATAAAATGTGCTTTGGAAGCGACGGCGATGTTACTGATGATAGGCAGACACCACGACAACACGCCAAAACCTAACAGAGTGAACCCCCAAATAATTCAATCAAAATAACAGAAAAGTGAAATTATTTTGGGTTAGGGCTTTCTCATTAGCGATGATAACGCTTTACTAATTAAGTTCTATCATCGACTAAGAGTGTTATCGTCATCACCGGACGAAGATTTTTTTTTATTATTGTCGACATAAGTGATATCAGTTCTGTCGACATTTCTTGGTATATTTTTTTAACTGAAATTTAGTAGTTGGATACTAGTTGACTTGAAAACATGATGACTTATAATGTTTAATTAAAGTTTAGAACTACTTTTTACTTATGTACCGATTTTGTTTATGATTAAACATGTGATATTCATCACTTCTGTCGCCATGTGCGTCACGTCTGTCGACGTACAAAAAGTGAAAATTTAATTTTTATCGATTAATTTTTAATATTGATCTGTAATACTATTTTTGTAAAGTTAGTCGGACACCAACATGTACTTTAAGCAAAAAAAACTTGATAAAAGTACAATTTTTAATTTATTTATTTTTATTTGCCACTTCGTAGAACCACCCACCCACAAAGATGTAGAGGTTCGTGTGATCATGGAAGTGAAAGGTATCTAGTTCTGCATATACCGGGAGTAACAAAAAGGATGTTACAAGCCGAAAGGAGGTGAAGGTACTCATGAAACTGATCAACTTTCCTCATGGAACATGGGTCATCTCCAGTTAAAGTCAGTAGGTAAGCTTCAAAATCGTCGCTATAGTCCGACAGCTTCGTGCGCGACCCTCCCTAGGGGTGACAGACGTTGGGGGGGGGGAGATGTCAGCGGGTACCGGGAGGTGTAGCGGGGAAGGGAGACGCGCGCATCTGCGCCGCACGTCATATTAAAATGACGTGCTTCCTCGCCCCCCCACCGTCTGTACCCCGCAGGAGGGTCATGCACGAAGTTGTCGAACTATAGTACTGAGTGAGCCATCTGTATAGGCCCCCCGCATGCCATTTCCCAAAAGTGCTACGGGGCCATATTTGCCAAACTACGAAAACAAAGTCGCCCTCAGTGTAGGTTTTTTTATCCGGAAGTGTCATTATTTTATAAAGTAGATGCTGGTTCTATGTAGGTATAAAATAAAGTGGCCAGTCATATCCAGACCAGACCTATTCTATATCATCTTAAAGGGAAGGAAAAGATGGTAGAAATACGCTTATAGCTACAACCCACTGCTGTCCCTTTACAAGTAGCCTAATTAAATTCTAGCTAAAGGCTAAAGTAAGGTCGATCAAATTTTTTTATTTCACATTTCTATAGGTACAAATTAATACCTACAAGACCACATAAGTTTCATTCCATTCTGGCTTAGGGTCCCGCTGCGTATACGTACATGCCATATTTATAGACATGTCACCAACGAACAATAGATCTTATTGTCATGTGTCGTTTCCATAATTTGTGGCATTAACATGATTTTGACAGCTGTCAAATATGGCCTATTCAAACTCTACATATTTAGGTTCATCTGTGATTCAAACGCTATGCTGTAAGTTAATTTCTTGCTTGAACTATAATATTACTCTTGCTCTGGACTATAACCCGTTCCAGTCGTGGCCTGGTATAAAATTATTTTATTTGATTAAGTTGGAAATGGCCCCATTATAAAAAAAGAAAATCCGCAATTAAGTAAAAACAGCAAATCAACCCTAAAGCATAATTATTATCACATCACATAAAACAGAAATCGATGTAGGCATAAAACTACTAAGTACAAAATGATTCTCAAAGCTAAGGCCTCTGAGGACTACTCTTCATCAGGGAAAGTTATCGCAACATTAATGTTCTCCATGTACAATTCTTGGCCTCTGACTCCTTCTAATTCCCTGTTTCTTGCAGTTTTGCTCTTCACTCTATGCGGCATGCCATATCTCAGCTTCTCCCAGAACCAAGGGTCGTCACATCGCAAATACGTGTTGTAAGTGAGATATCCTCGAATTTCCATATCCAGCTTCATGTCAAGAACGTCGTCTTTGACCAGGACGAGAACTTTGGCATTGGGATCTTCGTCTGCGTTTGATATTGAATACCTGTAGCAAACAAAAGGAGAAATTCTAGACTTACAGACGACGAAAAACTGCCAAACCCTGTCTAAATTATATGTAACAGACATTTCTTAATTTACACTGCCCA